GGTCGGGGAATAGGGGTAACCCCGTCAGTCATAGCCACGACATGGATGGCAGCAGCAGCGGGGTCAGGCTGTTGGTTGTGGCTCGTCAGGCTAGTCACGGTCAGCTCCTTTTTGGGTCGGGGAATAGGGGTAACCCCGTCAGTCATAGCCACGACATGGATGGCAGCAGCAGCGGGGTCAGGCTGTTGGTTGTGGCTCGTCAGGCTAGTCACGGTCAGCTCCTTTTTGGGTCGGGGAATAGGGGTAACCCCGTCAACAGTCTTAGCCACAACATCGCTACCAGTAGCTCGACGTCTATCCATTAGCCTCTTCTTTGCTGCTGCTGAACGCCGGGATGCCTTGGTGCGAGGCATCTGTAGATGAACAGGGGCGAGAAAAAAAAGAAAAAAATGCAAGGCACACTTCCTTCCAACTTTACTTTGCAGTCATGCTGTCAAATGCATATACATGGATGTGTTTTGTCAGGAGCGGTTCCCACGGTGGTCTTTTCAGACTGTACACCAACATCGTTCTGCCCTGTTCACACTCCTTATCCTATAATACATCTGTCTCACATGACTTGATTTTTTAAGACAGACACAGAAAACTCTACAGCTTACCTGTTAAGTCACACTGCCAAACATCCATATTACACACATCAACAAGTTTTGCCTCAACACTGACCTAAATGTTTGTCATATGTATGCCGATTTGTCCTGTCACTCAAATACAAATTTATTGAAAGACTTTCCTTATCTCATCAATTCAAATATACACATTGGCCACTTAACATTAGTTTCGTGGTCATTTCTCACATTGTGCGGCGGCTTCTCTGTCACTACACATCCAATGTCTATGCAACACACAATGGCACAGCTGTTTCGTGGTAAGCAGTTACATAATTACCCATAGAATACTACGTTTCTAATGCTATAGCAAATCTATGCAGTAAAATAGTGTGACATGAGCTAGCAATGCAGCGCTGTCCAAGTCCACAAAGCATACCGCCTATCACTTTGTCTTCGAGTGTGTTAGTCCACCAGAAATCTGCAGAGGAGAAAGACAAGCAAGTTTCTTTGCGTCAACATTTCCCAACAGTCATCTTTGTTGAAAACGACATATAAACTTGATATGCCTTTTAAGGTCAACCAAGCTCATTAAGCTAAGCTAAGACATAATTGGCGATGAAGGCATCAGCTTCAAAATATTTACCTTTGATGCGACAGCTCTTCAAAGTCTACAAAGACAACATGCATCAGTTAATGACTGGCGTGCATTTATTGTACAAGCATTTCATTAGTGTATGCAATGAAACTGCCCATACACATACAGAAACATTTTCCACTGTTCCAATTGTAGCAGTGTGGTTGGTATGAAGTTTGTTTCTTATCAAGGATATATTACATTGTTACTTTAAGATCTAGCCACAGCAGTCAAATTGACAAAAGTGCAGAGGATAAACATGGCTGAGACGTCATGTCGCCTCACATAGATTTGTTTCATGCCAGTTAGAGCTGTACAATATTGGGGAAAGAAAAATCACATTGCAATTTTTATTATTTCTGTGATATATATATTGCAATTTTAGGATTTTTAAAAGCCTAATAAGTTCAGTCTATTGGCATAATCAATCATTCTATTAAGACTGAGGTGTTTTTGCCCAAATATAATGGTAATGATAACTTGATCAGCATGTAACAGAGCATGAGCATCACACTAATTAGCCTTATCACATATGGGAGCTAAGGCCACTTAAAATTAATAAATTGTTTTACATGACTCAAACTTCTAAAATATTGGTGAGTCGGGGATTTTATATTTTATATTTTTAGCGAAGACGAACG